AGAAGTTCAGAAATACCATCAAATTTGTCGTCAACAGCTACCACCAATGCATGCTTCCTCTGGTAATCTAAAGCTTAAACAAAACATTGCCTGCACATCACATCAACTAGTAAAAATAAATAAAGCAGTAATGAACAAAAGAAAGAAAAATAGATGCCAATTTATTTATACCTTGTTTGGGGCAACATCTCTAATCCTATAAAATATTGGATCTTGAATTCTAGCACCTAATGCAGTCTCTGCCTCCTGAAGAGTACCCAATAAATAAACGAACAAAATATATAAGATAGGAACAAAGTGGCGGTATTGCACTAAATAACGGTTCGGTTCGTTACTGATATTATTTTGCCGTCTGTCTCGTTCGATCTCATGAAGCAATAGCAGTGGATCCATGGGAGAGAACCTTTCCAGTGTTTCGTATGGATAAGACCTCTAAAGGCATCTGCAGTTATATATATTCAAAAAATGATTAGCTTTCTATGATAATAATGTGTGTTGACTGTTAGGTAGGGCTGCAAAAGAACCGAGAGGCTCGCGAGCGCTTGAGCCAAAGCTCGGCTCGAGCTCGAGTTTGACCGGACTAGAGCCGAGCTCAATCTGCTCGTCGTGCTCGAGCATGTTATCGAGTCGAACTCGAGCATAGGATTTGGAAGGTCGAGCCGCTCGCGAGCAGCTCGAGATATATAGTGAATTGGTAAATACTCCTTTTATATAATTATTACAATATTTTATATGTACTTAATGGTAATTATACTTGAAATTAGAGTCGAACTCGAGTCAAACTCGAGCAATATTTCGAGCATTTTGATTTCAATCGATCTCGAGCCGAGCTCGAGCAATCGTCTTCTTTTGTCGAGTTGATATCGATCGTCATCAATCGAGCTCGACGAGTGAATGAGAGAATGGAAGGAACCTGAAAACAAAAGTAGTTACCAAGAAATTGTAAGGCTGAGGCAGGTAGATTCATAATGACATGATCGATGTGCTCCCAGGGTTTTGCATTGAAAGCCTCAGACTCTCTAATATGTTTATTCGACCATCTTTTCTTCTTTTCAGCCACACGCTGACCATCATTACGCAGTCCATTCCCTACATACAACATATTTTGCAAAGCAATGAGTTTAGCACTTTAGTAGCAAAAACGGAAGAAAGAAAGGAAGAAAGGAAGCAGGTATAATCTGACTATCAATAATTTCAGAACCGAGCATTACCATCGAACAAACTTTCACAGCGTCGTTTCACAGTACCTACACTCGACTCTTCTTTCGATTTCATTTGCCCATTAGTTTCCAAATTTGTACCATTCTCATCTTGAACTTCTTTTTTTACAGCTCCTCCTTCATGTAAGCTGAAGTTTTTAACTTAGTAGCTCATAATCAAATAATTTCAAAAAATAAATAAATAAATAAATAAATTATTCAAAACAGATTACCAGCTATACATTTATCTACTAACTTATTTTCGAAGATGAGATTCATCTGCTGTTCTTCCTCAGAAGTCTTCGAAATTGCTATGTCAGGCTCTAGACAACATTCACTCGAAGGCACTTGAATTATAGAAGAAACAAACTTCCGTGCGTCTAAATTGTATGCGCGGACTAGATTAGAGACCTTGTTGATTTCCGCATTTATCTTGAGAAAACGAATGCTATCTGGATTTAAATCATTCGCGTACACTTGGCATCCCTTTTGTGCAGCTGGAATAGCAAAAGGACCGATACCAGCAAACATATCACAAACAGTATCCCCAGCCTCAAATTTAGAGATCAACCTCAAGTGCTCATGTTCCAATCTAGAATTCCAATAGACCAAGCCATAATCGAGATTGAAAGTTGCCCCATACTGCTTTACCTCTGTAACCATGTTACAATCTCCAGCAAGTATTTCGAAATTCGGCACACGAAACTCATTCGTTATGGTCCCAACTTTATTGACAACGGTCTTGATTCGTGGATAGTTTTTCTGTAAAAAATAAAAATAATAAAAATAAAGGAAGAGGAGTTCAGAATTTTAAGACTAGTAACATAAGATTATTCAAATAATCAGTATTTCAATGGTTAATTCCAATCCGTGCGTTGTTCAAATAGGCTCCAGTAATTGACTGCTTTCAAGAAAAATCATGATATGCATAAAATAATAGGCATGGAAATCCTTATAATATTCACACTTGGCTTCTATCATTAAAAAATAACTTATTTTACCAAAGCAAAAAATTAATTCCAGAATTTGGCAGATTGAAACTTACTACTATGTTGTAAGTTCTAAGAATTCATCTGCGGAGAAGCAAATTAGTGAGCCAACTATCTTGGAAACAAGTTATACATACAAAGGCGGAAAAACATACATCATAAATTACTTTTGCTATAACATCTTTGTACGGTAGCAGTTCATCCGCTATATTCAGGTGGGCAATGTGACCCTGCACAAAAGCAATTCGAAAACAGAACCATTAGCTAAGATCTCACGTAAGGAAACTAAACGTATTTTCAAAAGAATATCATTAATGATTATTCGTCACTCTAAGACAATAGCAGAATACCAAAATGAAAAGATCGACGGGAAGAATGCTGACACATAAAACACTTAACTATTGTTTCAAATGACGACGGTACTTCAATCCCAGGTGGCAGAATCTGCTTCAATATATGGTCTGTAATCCAATTAGCCAGATGAAAATTTAATAGTGAATAACACCACCAACTTGAACCTCTTCACGCATCTTAATTAGCAAACCACCAAAATAATGTACAATGAATGAATTAAAATTGCTAGAACATAGCAGCAATAAGTGGGGGGGAGAAACTAACCCAGTTTGCAAGAATAATCAAGTTTCAAATGCACAATATTTATAAGGCACCACCAATATTATATCAGAAAAATTCTAGGCTGAACGAAAGAAAGAATGCGTAGGACAGATTCAGCTAAATTTCAAATAAGAATCACCTCCTAAATGAAGTAACTTCCTTCACAGTTTTGGAGCATCAAAGTCTACAAATTCAGCTCCTAGAACTTAAGAACTTCGAACTAAAAAACTTAAACGACGGTATAACAAGCTTTTCCAAGCAGGTGTCTTGATTTCCATTTACATTCAAAAATCACAAAGAAACAATAAAAGCTGAAAACACAGAAAATGATCTACGTACCTACACTCCAGTAAGAATAGCCGAGCGTAAATGAATACGGAACTACTCGAATCTCGAAGAGCCTTTTCAATTCCTCAACTTTATCATCAGGGATCTCAGACAAATCTGTCATAATTGCCAACTAATAAGAATAAGAAGAAACTCAATGTTGATGCTTTCCACGTTTCTTCTTCTTCGTCCATAAACTTCCCAAACAATATAACAATAGCAACCTCAATACCTGGAAATTGGAATCTCTCGGACAATAACATGTAACGATTCTTATCAGAAGTTGGATCTTCTGTTACAGGTTTGATGCGTGGTCTATTAAGTAAATATCTGCAAGTAACAATGAAAAAGTAAAACACCATGGAAAAACTATGGACATACGAACACCATTCATTCAATACCCATTCAGAATTCGAGTTGCAAGCTTGCAATGCTCCCGCGGGACTCGAAGTGCCAAC